CCTTTCCCCTCTTTAGCCTCAATTGAGTTTTTGTTTTGCTTCTCACCTTAAATCATCCCAGTAAAAGACACATGGATTTTAAAAACTAATGCATTTTTTTTACCTCTATAGGGTAGGGGTGAGGTGAGTGTGGGACGTACTCAGGAAAATCTTGGTCCTGAAAGTAAACTGGATAGAAGTGTACAATGGAGCCTTGGTGGTGTAGAAAACGGCTTTCTACTCCCTGTAACAGTTCCAGTCTCTGAAACTCACGGGGCCAGTTTCTGTAGGGTCACTTTGAGTTGGCATTGACTTGATGGCAGTTTTTGAATGAGTACAATGTTACTTGCTAATCGTTTTCTATTCTGGAGAGTGTGTATATATATATATATAAATATACATATACATACATACATACATACATATATATATATATACTGCAAAATGGGCTTGGGAACCCACACCAAGGAATTCATGGATTCACTGCTTGTGTATGTATGCATGTATGTTGTTGTTAGGTACCATCAACAGCGCAACACTGCTTTGCCTTCACCATCCTCACAGTGCTTCTTAGTTTGAGCTCATGGTTGCAGCCACTGTGTCGATCCATCTTGTTGAGGACCTTCTCCTTTCCACTACTGTACAGCATGCTGCCCTTCTCCAGGGGCTGGTTTCTCCTGACAACATATCCAAAGACTGTAAGACAAGTCTTGCCATCCTGGCCTCTCAGGAACATTCTGGCTGTACTTCTTTCAGGACAGATTTGTTAGTTCTTTTGGCAGTCCATGGTCCTGTCGATAGTCTGCCACACTTCAGTTCTATCTTCTTTCATAATTCAGCACCATAATTCAAATGCATTCATTCTGATTCTTCTGCAGTCTTCCCTATGTAATGTTAACCTTTCACACGCATGTGAGGCCATTGAAAATACCATAGCCTGGGCCAGTCCCACCTCAGTCCTCAAAGTAACAGCCTTGTTTTCCAACACTTTAAACACACACACAATTCATATGCATTTTCCAATACTTTCATCAAGCTACTCCCAGCCAGAAAACAAGACAGCTTTTGAATCATAAAGGAACTTCTTGTGTTGTTGTTATGCTAAACTACAGGGCTTTCCTGGGTCTGTGTCCTGAGGCAAATTACTTCACCTGGCCACTTTAGGTTTCCTCTTCAGTAGCTTAAGGGTAATTGTACGTGCCTTCCAGTCAATGACTCAGCCCACATAAAAACAAAACAAAAATTCACTGCTCTCCCGATTTAGAGTCCTGTGACCAGATAGGACAGAGTGGAACTGCCCCGTGGGGTTTTCCAGAAGGGGAGGTGGACTCCAACCACCTTTTAGGTTAACAGCTAAGTGCTTCATCACTGCACCACCAGGTGGCCTAATTCCGAATTTTTAGTAATACCTATTCTTTCACAGTTTTTTGGTGAGAACTAAATGGGATAATTCAGAGACTGTTTAGCACTGTGACCAGCACTAGACAAGGATATATTGGCATGTTCATAGACAAGGATATATTGGCATGTTATTTGGTAATGCTGTATTCTATTTGATAATACTGTATTTGATGGTAACAATATTATCAAACTAATTCCAAAAACCTAGAATATTTCTTCTCCCATTAAAAATCTTAGGAGTCCTGTCAAAACAAATCCTGAAAACAAACTTGCATTTCAAAAGCCGTTTACAAATGAAAGCACAAATGCCAGGGTTCTGGAAACTGTTCAGAAAGTACATTCTATAAAAGGTAACTAACTGTTGAACAGCTAGCGAGAATTTCAAAGGGCTGTGATTTATGCTCCTGTCCCTCAGCTCACATGTTACTAGAACAGTTTACTCTCGACTACAAAATAAATCAGAGCCATAGATGTTTTGAGTATTGTGGAGTTTTTTAAACAAAGAAAGACAGAAAAGAAAAAAACACTTTTATCCAGAGTAGAGGTTTGAACTTTTTTTTTTTTAAACTAGTAAAATTCAGGGACGAACACAAGTCTGGAAACCTTTTTATCTCACTAAACATTTTTTTTCAATCACATCACCCTGTGTTACTACTTTCATTTCAGGATAAAGGTGACATGTTAAGATCCCTCAAATAGAAAAGGTATCAGCATCAAGAAAGACATCATGCTCCTCCTAGTTCAATACATTTAAAGTTACTAAATGTCACTTTCAGCATTTTTTTATGGACCTGCTTTTGGGAACCTGTATAAATTATTAATATAAGCACATGATATAACAATTAAGCTGTTGATTTTTATGCCATTCCCACTCTGATACTTCCTTTTCCCCTTCCAAAATCAAACCAAACCTACCACTTTCCAGTCAATTCTGACTCATAACCGCATAGGGTAGAGTTGAACTGCCCCTTTGAGGTTTCCCAGGCTGCAAATCTTGACAGAAACAGAAAGTCTCATCTTTCTGTGTTAGAGCAGTTAGTAGGTTCGAAATGCTGACCTTGTTGTTGTGGAGTTGAAATCAATGTGATGGCAGTGAGAGTTTTGAGAATTTCTGTTCATACTTCCTGAATAAATGCTTCGTTCCCTAAGAAGTCTTTCCTGGCCCTCTAGCCTTGAATAAGAGGGGGTAACCCCCCACCCCCACTCCACCCCCACCCACACATACACAAAACTAGAATTCTGCTGGGTGGAGCAAAGCTTTCTTAGGATGCATACTCCCCCCACCCCCTTCCCTGAAAGGGGAGCAACTTGCTCTGAGTGAGTGCACCCAGTGGTGTTGCCTGTGCCTGGGAAGGTTCTCTCTGGTCACAGTGAATGTTTTCATAAAAGCAGTTTCACTCTAACCTCATTTTGGGGGGGTGGCTGATTTAAGAGATCTGCGTGCGGCTGTGAAATGTTGTTTCCTGCTTGAGGGAGGGCGGTGGGGAAGGCTGCAGAAACTGTTTTGATGTTGAGCAGAGCTTACAAGGACAGCCTTATGGGAAAAACTAAATTGTATGAGCAGTTTTCTCTTTTCAAAAAAGGTGAAATGTCAGTTGATGACAAACCTCATTCTGGACATCTGTCAACTTCTAGAATGGACGTTCATTTCAACAAGTCAGGCTGTTAATCAAGCTTTCTATATGGAGGTTCTGAAAAGATTGAGTAACCGTGTACAACAAAAAAGGCCTGATTTGTGGCAGAAGGGGGTCTAGTTTTGCCACCACGACAATGCCCCTGCTCATGCAGCCATCTCAGTGTACCAGTTTTTGGCAAAAAAAGAAACAGCAGCTTACCTTTCTTGCTTGACTCACCTGACCTTGCTCTGTGTGACTTAATTTTGTTTCCGCAAACATGAAGAGGGACATGAAAAAACAGCGATTTGATGACATGGAAGAAGTGAAGAAAAATATGAGGGAGGTGCTGTCAGCCATCCAAACAGATGAGTTTGAAAAATGTTTCCAAGAATGGAATCGCAGATTTGACAAATGTATTACGTGTAATGGAGAGTACTTTGAAGGTGATAAGATTGTTGTGGTAGTTACGTAATTTTAATGTCACCTTGATAAATAGGTCTAGGAGTCTAAACTATCAATCAGGTCAAGCCCGATTATACTTCCTTATGGGTGTGGCCTTCTCACGAGGATTCTGGGAATTTACTCTCTTTCTCCCTGGAGGTGGGCCACACTCTCTCTGCGTCACCGTCCTGTGGAGGAGACACGTAGAGACCCACGCCAGCATCGAGATGCTTCCACCACCACTGGACCCACAAGACTTTCCAACCGCTGGCCTGTGATCTTCCTGCATTCTGCATCATTGCATGTGCTACATGAGTCTGAAGAGGAATTTATGGACTAGTATTGACCATACGGGCTAATATCAGACTCGTCCTGGACTCGGGCTGGGATGCTTTCGCAATATATAATTGCTCTTTGATATAAAGCTCTCTCTTACACATATGTGAGTGTCTTTAGATTTGTTTCCTTAGTCAACTGGGCCAAACACAGTTGTTTTGTAAAAATATATATATATTCATAGCTTTGAAAAAAAATCCATTTTCGGGGGTACCACCTCGAATATATCAATTACTGCTTTCCCATGCCATGGGTCTGATACTTATCTCCTGCTCCATTTACTAGTTTCCATTCCTTTCTAGGGTCTTAGCCCTTGGAGGGCACGCATCTCATGTATCATTCACCATGACAGCTGACGCCTCAAAAGGAGCCTGGGCACAGAACAGAAGCAATAAATATTTGTTGAATAATGTTAAATAAAGAGGTCAAAGTACAAATGGATCAAATCAAAGCCACTACTTATAATTTATTAGGTGAAAATAATATAGGACTACTTAGTCCTAAAAATCAAACAGTCAGGAAAAAGAATCAAAGAGTCAGTATTTGGGAGGAGAACATAAGTACCCAACTGTAATGTGCATTTTTTTCTGACACCATAATTATTTTGCATAAATTATCTGTGATTAGGCATGGTCTTCTGCCATTTGTATGATTTTCATTGTTTGATAGTTGTGTTTATGGCATGTATTAGAACCCCTAAGTATTTTTCTGTGTTTTTATTGATGATCTGCATGGTTCTGGGTTTTATACTTAGATCTTTGCTTTCTCGAGTTCTTTTTTGTATATGGTGTTAGATATGTGTGCTGCTTCATTCTTCTGCAAATGGATTTTTAATTTTGCTAGCACCATTTGTGAAAGAAAGTATCTCTTCCCAACTTAGTGTATTTCAGTCCCTTGTCAAAGATAAGGCTTCTGTGGGTGGATGGATTTACTTCTAGGCTCAAAATTCTTTGCCATTTGTCTATGTACCTATGATTGTCGCAGTACTAGGCTGTGTTGACTGCCGTAGCTATGTATAGGTTTTGAGATTAGGAAGTGAGAGGCCTTCACTTTCTTGTTCTTCGTGAGTAGTGTTTAGCAGAATCGGCACCAAGATTGAATTATATCTGTAGATATCTTTGGGAGTATAGACATTTTCATGATGTTAAGTTTGCTTTTCTAGGAGCATGATATATTCTTCCATTTATATAGGTCTCTTCAGTTTTCTTTTAAAATTTTTTTTTTTTTTTAAATATGGAACGCTTCACGAATTTGCATGTCATCCTTGCGCAGGGGCCATGCTAATCTTCTCTGTATCGTTCCAATTCTTTTAAAATTTTTGTACAAATCTTTTGTTTCTAAAGTTCCTTAGTATTTCATTTTTGGGGGTGATATTGTAAATAATATTTTCTTGATTTCCTTTTAGAGCTCTCTTTGTTACCCTAAAGTCATCTATTTAGTTTTGTATGTTGATCTTGTACTTAGCCATGTTGCTGAATCTATTCATTCCAACAATTTTCTTGCAGGTTATTTGGGATCTTCTAAACATAGGATCATATCATCTATAGAGCAAGTTTTACTTCTTGGTTTTTTGTTCTGGAAGCCTTAGCTAGAGCTGTAAGGAAAGAAAGAGAAATTAAAGCATCCAAATAGTGAATAAGAGGGGTATTACAGGGTATTCTTGCTTGGTCCTTACATACAAGATGGGTACTTTCAGTTTCTCTCTGGTAAGGGTAAAGGTGACCATTGGCTTTGTACATATGTCTTTTATTATGCAGAGGAATATCCCTTCTATTACCATTTTGTTGATTGATTTTATCAGGTATGGATGTTGGATTTTGTCAAATGCCTTTTCTGCATCAGTTGATACAATCATGGTTATTTTGCTTTATGTGATATATTACAATGATTGTTTTTCTAATGTTGAATCATTCTTGCATGCCTAATATGACCTACTTGGTCATAATGTTATTTCGCTATTTGGGCATATTGGGTTCTTTTTTTAAAAATCATTTTATTGGGGGCTAGTTCAACTCTTATCACAATCCATCCATCCATCCATTGTGTCAAGCACATTTGTACATTTGTTGCCATTATCCTTCTCAAAACATTTTCTTTCTACATGAGCCCTTGGTATCAGCTCCCCATTTTCCCCCTCCCTTCTTCACCCTCCCTCCCATATTGTTGGATTCTATTGGCTAGGATTTTGGGAAGTATTTTTGCATCTATGTTCATGAGGTCTATTAGCCTTTAATTTTTTCTAATCATTTTATTAGGGGCTCATACACATACAAGGGGCTCATCACAATCCTTACATACATCAATTGTGTAAAGCACATTTGTACATTCATTGCCCTCATCATTCTCAAAACATTTGCTCTCCACCTAAGCCCCTGGCATTGGCTCCTCATTTTTCCATTCCCTCCCCGCTCCCCTCTCCCTCATGAACACTTGTTAATTTATAAATTATTATTTTGTCATATCTTGCCCTGTCTGACGTCTTCCTTCACCCACTTTTCTGTTTTCTGTCCCCCAGGGAGGAGACCACATGTAGATCCTTGTAATTGGTTCCCCCTTTCCAACCCACCCACCCTGCACCCTCCCAGTATCGCTACTCACATCACTGGTCCTGATATGATCATCTGCCCTGGATTCCCTGTGTTTCCAGTTCCTATCTGTACCAGTGTACACCCTCTGGTCTAGCCAGACTTGCAAGGTAGAATTGGGATCATGATAGTGGGGGAGGAGGAAGCATTTAGGAACTAGAGGAAAGTTGTATGGTTCATCTTTGCTACATCACACGCTGACTGGCTTGTCTCCTTTCCAGCCTTTAATTTTTTTTCATCGTCTGTGCCTGGTTTCACCCCCCCAACAGTTTTATTGGCACATAGTTTACATATTATACAATCCAGTAGTTCAATCATTCTATCATATCAAGACTTATACAATCATTACCACATCATTTTTTTTACATTGAATAGTATTGTTTTATTTTTAGACCCATTTGTCTCTTTTTTTCTCAAATAATATTTTTATTGACATATAATACTCATTCCAATATATCCCTTCCCTTCCCACACAGTTCTTTTGTTCAATCCCATCAGTGGGGTTATATAATCATCAGTTTATCAACTCCCCCCCACTACCTACCCCCGTGCCTAGTTGTAATATCAGGCTTATGCTCACATCATAAAATGAATTCAGGAATTTTGTATCATTCTCTATACTCTGAAATAATTTGAGTAGAATTGGTGTCAGCTCTTTGCCTGTTTGGTATAATTCACCAGTGTAACCATCTGTGTTCAGACCGTTTTTTTTTTTCTTCAGATTTAAGACATATTTTATTTGGCTCCCAAGTAAACTTGGGTAGTTGGCTCCTTGCACCCAGGACCCAGCTGTGTTCCCATACAATGCCAGACAAGCAGCATTCCCATGGACTCTGCTGCTTAGAGAGCACTTAAGCTTTGGCAGCTGACTTGTAATGGGTGAGCGTATGGGCGGCAGGGTCAGCGGCATTGATCCACTTAGACATCCAGTAATGGGTCAGCCAGTTAGCCCGACCAGGGTAGTGGCGTTCAAAGATCCGACTGTAGTAGTGAGCTTCTTTGGTTTTCGGAGTGTGGAAGGGAAACTTCTCCGAGGCAGTGGCCATCATTGTATCATCAGCCTGATGTTCAACAAAGTCCTGTAAAATCCTGAACCAAGAATTCTTCACCCAGGTTATCCCGTCGCTGAAAGCTTCTTTCGGTCGCCAAAGAATCTCTTTAGGTAACCGGTTAGTGTCCTCAAAGGCCTCTCACAGGAGATGTTTCTCTATCCCATGCTTTGGAATCCTCATTTTCGGTGGGAGAGACAAGTAGTAGGAGTGAATCGGTGATCCAGGAATGAGACTCTCAATTCAAGGCCATGGGCAGCAGTAGTTCAATCTGCACAGAGAATATCAAATAAGTAGAGTTCTCTCAGGAGCCTCTCACACTCTTCCTCAGCTTTCTCAGCAGACGGAGCCTTGTGAAAATATATGTAACCTTGAATAAGTTCATCTGAACCTTCCAGAGAAGATCACCACACTATCTGTGTTCTTCCGGATGTATTTGGACATTAAATACATACTTACGGGAAGCATGAACTATTGTAATGTCATAAGTTTCCAAGGAAAATATGACTTCATCTACCTGAATTCCTTCCCCAGAATTAGAGAGGACTTCATGGTGCTCACTTCCAATGTGATTTGCTACTTTTCTAGCAGCCTATAAATCAGGACTGTCTTCCATACCAATCGCAAATGTCTGGAAGGGATACTGAACATGGGCCTCTTTAAGTTGCTTCATCAGGGTGGCAGCAACTAGGCTGGAATCCAAACCCCCTGATAAAAGACATCCTATCCTGTCCGTCATCAAATGATTCTTAACGGATGTTGTTCTTGACGGTCTCTATCTCAAAACCTGGGAATAGTTTCTCCACATTGTCACACATGGTGTGCTGACACTCATCCCGACAATGATGGTATTTGACCATTTCCACAGACACGACTTGACCATTGGGCTTTAAGTCCAGAGCTTCATAGTGTCCAGGAAGAAAAGGCTCCACTTTTAAAAATGGAGTCATGGAATGCTTCAAGGTAACAAAGCCTTTAGCTTCTGAGCACACAGCTAAGAGTCCATCTTCAGTCATGGCTTTAAATGAAGGTCTGACTCCATTGGTATCTCTGCCCAGAACAATTTCTTATTGGCAGTATCCAATGAAATGAACGCAAACACCCCATCCCGCAGAGAGGCGGTTTGCTCAATTCCGCCTTTGTCATAAAGATAAAGGATGATCTCACCATCCACTTTGGTCTGATACTCAAATCCAAAGTGGTGACGCAGCTTCTCATGGTTGTAGATTTCACCATTGTTTAACAGAACCACAAGTAAGGATATTTCTTCAGTCGAATTGACTGCATTCCAAATAGTGGATCAACCACCGCCAACCGATGAAATCCAAACCAGCAGTTGGTGTTTTCATGGACGTTCTCAAAACGGACGGCATCTGGACCTCTGTGTGCAATCTTCAGAGCACACAGTCACTGCCAAGGAGAGCCACGCGGGGGAGAACCATGTGCTCTCTGTTTGCCTGGAGGGAGGTGTTGTTCCAGAACACACACCACAGGTTGTGCAGCTTGATGATGCCTTCGGAAGGTATGTGCTCCAGCGAAGCCCTCGAGTGGTCTGTCCCTTCTGATACGTTCTGTTTGGAGCCTAAACCTGGATTGTTGTGCTTGCGGGGAGCTAGGGGGATGCAGCGTGTGGACCTGTTGGGAGGTTTTTAATGATCTGATCAAATTCTTCTTTGATTATGGGTCTTCAAATTTTCTACTTTCGTCATTGTTTAAGTGGGTAAGCTCTTATCACAATCCATTCATCCATCTATTGTGTCAAGCACATTTGTGCATATGTTGTCATCATCATTTTCAAAACATTTGCCTTCTACTTGAGCCCTTGGTATCAATTCATTCCCCAGCCCCCTCACGATCCCTTATTAATTTATAAATGGTTTTTCATGTCTTATACCGACCACTGTCTCCCTTCACCCACGTTTCTGTTGTCTGTCTCTCTGGGGGTTGGGGGGTGTTGAATGTCAATCACTGTGATCAGTTCCTCTTTTTTCCCCCTACCTTCCCCTTACCCACCTGGTATCACTACTCTCATTATTGGTCCTGAGGGGTTTATCTGTCTGTCTATCTGTTTATCTGTCCTGAGGGAACTGTTGCGAGCTCTTGTCTGTACCAGTGTACATGCTCTGATCTAGCCAGATTTGAAAGGTAGAATTGGGATCATGACAGTCGGTGTGTGTGTGTGGGGGGGGCATTAAAGAACTAGAGCTTGTATATTTTCCTTTGTTATATTTCACTGTTGTTTGGCATAGGAAAGGGAAAACTGTGTGGGACAGAATACTCTGTGTGGTTTGGCACAATCTGCCAGCCAAGGGGCTCATGGGGTAGGGTGAATAAGTTGGCCACTACTCTTAGATGGAGTTCCCACTAGCCAATATGTTGTCTGGGGTCAGGGCACCTGATCTGGGAGGAGTTCGTGCCACCTTAGATTGATGGCTAAAGTCAGCATGCTTGCCCCTGGAAGGAATTTTTCAGGCACAAAAGTCAGCTGAGGTTGGGGCAGTTGGTTACAGAAGGAGTTTCCACCCATCCAAGTTGGAAAGGAACTCAACACTACATGTTCTGCTGGCCCGATGAGGGAATTCAAGCACCTCCAGACGTGGGGGTTGTGCACTTAGTGTCTGGTCCACACAGGTAAGACTTTGAAACCAGGTAGAGCAAGGGCTTTCCCGGGGGCAAAGGGCCTCCACAATCTGCT